GACGGCTATATCAGGTAGAACGTAACTAGTGGAATCAAGAGATCATATTGATGAAAAGTTCTTGGCAAACAATTCAGCTTTGTCGTTAGGTGAGGTGACAAAGTCTGAACCATACAAAAGAGGTGGAATTACAGACTTGCCCTTATTATTGATACTTGCCCTTAATATTGATATATTTAAAGGGAGGATGTGTGGGGGTGTTCTACCCCCACAAGGATGGTGATTTTAAGTTATAGTTGGTTTTTTGATGAATTTAGTCTGCTAGTCGGGTATTTGACACAATTCAGTTGGGTGAATTTTAGATTTTAAGGACTGCTTTTGTTTACTTTTAAGAAACCAGTTGGTACTTTTTAAAGGTTCACTCACACCCTCATTTTATAATTAATTTATTTATAAAGTCAAAAGTGTCCTAGTAAGGTTGTACACGGTTAGCATGGATCCTTATAATGCCTACCTAGCTGTCCCAAGAATGCCACTTATACAGAAAGTTAGCGTACACATCAAGGTACCCTGTGATGCAAATTTTGAAATCATTTAATTTTGTTTGCGGAAAATAATTTAATTTGAATTTTCAAATTAAGTCAAATTTTGACTTCATAGTGAGCCAATAAAAAAATTGGAGAATTTGAACCACTCAATATAATTTGATAAAAACTGGTGTAAATGTAGCCAATAGTCACACCAAACTCTGGACAAAATTTCAGCCTGGTTGGATGACTGGTGTAGGATTTATTGCAGTTTTAGTTGAAGTTTTGTCAGTTTTGAAATAACAGTTACATGAGTGTTCTACTATGTAATACCAACAATTTTTGTTATAATTATTTTATCGTACATGTACAGTTTTCATTTTATAGACCAAAATAGTGATTTTCTACTTAAGGCGTGATTTAAATTATCTTATGCTAATAGTGTCGACACGGCCTTCAAAGTTGAGGGGGTCAACCCCTCAATTTCTAAAATAAAATCCATAATTTCTAAAATAATTGCCTATATTTCTGAAACAAAAGGTCCTTGCAAAAAAACATAGAGAAGTACATGACCCCCTAGCCTCCCTGGCGTTGACGACCATGTATGCTTCACTTGAATATACCAACATTTCTTAAGGTATAAACTGCTGCCAAAAAAAAAGCTAAAAAAAAGTGCAAAACCTGGTCAAAGGACTACCAGTTAGTAAAACAAACAAAAAAAAGTAGATCTCCTGAATTATTTTGTATTGACCTCCTTAAATACATTTACTTTTAAAATGAAGTGAATACTATTTAAACCTTATTTTATAAATTGTATTACCATCAAATATCTAATTACATTTTAAGAGATGTTTTTTTGATTTTCTCCTCTAAACGATTATTAATAAATAGCTCAATGTACTCTTTTAATACAAATACTCTATAATAGCACTTTTAAAGATGGTGAAAATATTCATTATACACCTTAAAATATGAATTTCAGCAGCCTACTTTCTAATAACTCAAATGATGTTCTTTAAAGATGCTTACTGTTTAGGTCAATTATGCAGTGCATTAATCTTTCTTTGTACTCTGGATGATTATTATTTCGTTTATACCTCAACCAATGTTGATAAAAATCTTGATGAGAAGTTCCGACAGTTTGTTCACTATAGGGCCCCAAGGGGGATCCTTTGTGACTGATGAAATCCTTGATGTGGTAGAAAACGGCGTGAATTTTGGGTGTTACGCTTGCACCAGTAAATTAGGTAACACTTTTTGAAACTTTCAATTTTTTCAGCGAAATCCGGCTGAAGGATGTATTCAGGGCAAGCCTTGACAACTAAATTGAAGCTTTTGAATGCTTCAATTATGCACACAATATTGGGAACCATGTTTGTCTCAGCAAGTTGCTGCAGCATATCCACATTTTTAAGAAGCTTCCTGCATTCATTTCCCTCAAACTGGCCCCCGTGATATGGGCTCAGTTGAATGTGGAAGGCGCCTGGCCACTTAACAGCTTCTATCCAAGCAGTTTTAAGGATCTTGAAAAGATGGTTGATAACTCCTAAGAGGAGATGCAATTCCATCGGTGGAATGATTTTCAAAATCAAAACATTGACAGGCCTGCAGATAATTGGCTTTCAAATTACATTGCCAAACAGCTTTGCATTAGCAACAACCCCGCCAGATTGCTGAAAAGACTCAAGGCTTGAATTAATTTAGCCCAGTGTTTGTAAGTTTCCAGATTTGACAAGAAAATTGGATTTGATGTCACACCAGGTGCAAGGGTGCGTACTTGAATGAGTTTGACCACAAGTTATATTTGCAACTTTCATATCACAAGCCAAAATTAGTTTAACTCCATTTGCATTATTCAGTGTCAAGATTTGTTCAATATTGGAGTGTGACTGGCAAATCTTCTGAAACCCCAACAATAATTTGTCTCTTAGTTATAGTGTCTTTACCAGTCCTTTGAGTGAGAGGTTGTTGTTGGTGCGGTGAGCTGGTTTCATCCCTTAACACAGTATCAACTATGCTTAGGTAAAACTTGAGAAAATCTTTGCCGCCATCAATTCCGAGCTTAACAAAATAGCCACCAGAAATTTTGCGGGACTGAAACATACATATTTTATAGTTACAATAAACTTTGTTTAGTAAGTTTGTATAAAACTTTCAAATTATTTGTTTTTAAAGAAATTAGAAACTTGTCAAAAATATATTTCTTGAAATCTATCTAGTGTTATTTCTTAATAGTCAAGACTTTATTTCAATATATATGTTAAAAATATTTAACTATAAATATTTACCAGGGGTAACTGTAAGTGGAGGCCCGCCGGATGCTTTAGCCAGTAGAATAGTTCCTTCCGTAGATAACTATTTATTGGAAATAACTCGAGATGTGATTTGTTCGGATGATTTGGCATCTTTTGCTGCTAAAGATTGAATGTTTTCCCTTGACATTATTTGAGAGCATTGGTGGAGCAAACCTTTTCCTTAAGGGCTGAGGCATTTGCTGAAATGCACCTTTGGTTTTTTCTTAATAGTGGTTTGCTCTATAAGAGGATATTTTTCTTGCAACTTTGAACGACCAATTCAGCATATTAGGCAACAACACATCATGGCTCTTGTTTCAGGTCTCACTTGTATTGACTTAAAATCAAACAAAGGAGGGAGTGCAACTTTTTTCCTCTCTTGTTTCCTGCGTAAAGTAATTCTACACGATTCTCAGAATCTTTTTGGTACCCGAGTATCACTGATATTGATCTTGGTACAACTTGTACAGTTGGCATATATTATTGGTATATTCTGCTTGAAAAGTAGTAAGCTGTCTTAAACATTTTTTCAGACAGTTCTTAAATAGTTCTTTCCTTACCAGGAAACAATTGTTTAAACTAATTACTTGTAAGGAAATTACATTATTGATAATTGTCACACTTATTAAACTAATGATACTTGTCACACAAAACAACCTTTCAACCTAATTAGTTATTCAGTTAGAGCAATTTTCCTCCGACTGGCCCTCCAAACTTTGTATTGGTCAGATATCTTAGTTAACTTTTGTTAGTTTTTGGTATTACATAGTAGAACACTCATGTAACTGTTATTTTGAAAATAGTTACCGAAAAACTAAATCCTTCACCAGTCATCCAATCAGGCTGAAATTTTGTCCACAGTTTGGTGTGACTATTGGCTACATTTGCACCAATTTTTATCAAATTATATTGAGTGGTTCAAGTTCTACAAGTGTTTTTATTGGCGCACTATGAAGTCAAAATTTGACTTAATTTGAACAGTCATGTTAAATTATTTTCCGCGGACAAAATTAAATGATTTCAAAATTTGCATCACAAGGTACCTTGATGTGTATGCTAACTTTCCGTATAAGTGGTGTTCTTGGGACAGCTAGGTAGGCATTACAAGGATCCGTGCTAACTGTGTAGGAAGTGAGACTCAAGTCTTAAAAGCACTTATTTAAACATAGTGAATTTATGACCTTGAAATCACTAGTTCTTATCTTTAAATCAAGAAAAATTGTAAAGAACTGTAAATTTTCAATCAAATTTTTTTATATATAATTTTACAGATTTCAAATTTTCAAGAGTTGAAAATTTCCAGGAAATTTTCAACCCTAAAAATACTACAATATTAATTCCATAAACTTTTTATGAAATAAAAAAAAAGTTTTTTCATATAATTAGCCTTTTCGTGTTATAAAAAACGAAAAAGTTTTCAGTTTTTTCCAGTTTATAGCAGCACAAAATGATGGTTTGTTATAGTTAAGATTAAATTTTTTTTTTGATACATGCCAAAAAAAAACTTTTTGCTACTTAATGTTATAAATTTTCTGTGGTCCGGCTGGACAGAATACTTTGCTTTAAAATTATGAGTTATACGAAATTACATACATCGACTATCTTATAGTCTGTTGCCACAAAGGAGTGGCACTGCATTGACTGAGGATTTGGGATGGGGCAGCAATCTTTTCTCTCATTAAAATTTGTTTTTTTGTTCTTTTTCTGAAAAATTTTTTTGCTATAAAGATAGGCAAAACTAGTGAGCAAATGCTGATCTATATACATTATTATTTTATATATATATATATATATATATATATATATATATATATATATATATATATATATATATATACATACATAGTTTATTACTTAGTGTGTTAAAAAAGTTCTTTAACCATTACATACACTTTCTTGCATCATTACATACACTTTCTTGTAATATTGGTTTAATGTTTTTAACAGGAAAATTTTAATGATATAAAAATTTTTTTGGTGTTACTAAGTTAGGCTCAACAAGAAAAACATTAAATATGATTATATAACTATCTAATATTATGAGCACAGGAAATGGTTACAGAGAGATATGAAATACGTGTTTAGAAAGATATGGTGTGTGTGTATAGAGAGATATGATGTGCATGTTTAGATAGTAGATTAAGTGACATAAAGTAGCAAATGCGTGCTTCATGAACTGTAGTGGCAACATTATTATTATTTGTAAAAAATTAATAATATATTGGTTGTGTTTAAATAGGTTATCAACATTCTATTAGACAGAGGTCATCTCATAGTAGGAGCTATAGCACTGGTTCAATTGAGATAGTAAAATCAAAAGGGGTAATTACTTCTTTTTTTAATATACTTTTTAATAAATTGTAAGAAGTTTTTTAGTTAAATATAAGTTTGTTTGAATTTCAATAATTTATGTTAATTTTGCTACAACAATATTGTTTTTTAATTGTTGCTATTTTTATAGTTGATTAAAAAAGTTGCTTTTTTTTTTTTTTTTTTTGTTTCCCAGTCAAATGATATGTAAAATGAAACATATTTTATGAAAAAGTTATTTAAAAAAACTTTTTTTTTAGTCGTCTTTTACTGATGATGTTGCATGGAGTCTAAACCAAGAAGGTATTAAAGTTATTTATTACTGTGAGTAATTCATATATACACAAAATAACTAACAGTGATGGACCCCAAGGTAAAAAATGATAGGCTTTATGAACTTCAGATTGTCATCTAATACTTTTTTAGAATTATTTTTCAATCATCTTATGAATGATATGAAATTTATTTTTTATGACAATTATCTGCATAGTTCTGTTTTGTCAAATATATAATTATTCATTACAGTAAAACATATTTATTTACATCAAAGCATATAATTATTTATTTCAGTAAAACATATATTTATTTACATCAAAGCATATAATTATTTATTTCAGTAAAACGTATATTATATATTCATATAATGTTTGTTTTGCCAAAGTATATAAAACATGTATACATGATGTTTGCCAATGCAACAGTTGTTATAACTATTTTCTGTTCTTATGTTCAGTTCTTATAACTATTTTCTGTTCTTATGTTCAGTTCTTATAACCATTTTATTATGCTTATTGTGCAAATTATGAAAAATTTATTTTTGTATTTTTTAAGGATACAAAATTTATTTTAAGTAATGTGATTATAAATGAATGCAAACACTTTTATCTTAAAAATGAGTTGTAGATAGAACATAAATATCTGTTACAGGATTGCACGTGTAATAAGTATAAAATCTAACACTCTTTGTTTGTTGCCAAATAATATTTAACCACTAAAGTTTACAAAAAAACAATGCTTTTATAAATTAACTTGTCTTTTATTCCTCACAATATATATATATATATATATATATATATATATATATATATATATATATATATATATATATATATATATATATATATATATATATATATATGGCTGTTTGTCATGTCTTGTATATGTGCATTTGTGATTATCATTTTCATTCTGTGCCCTTTTTACATATATTTTTTTTGCTGTATTATACAACCAAGACCAACAACCTTTACATAAAAGGTTATTAGGTGCGTTTTGGTTAAATTGTTTGTAAACTTGGTTATCTAGCGTTTATGCTACATATAACACACTTTATTTAACCAAATGCTTTGCTTGATTAATTTATCTTACTTCTTTAATATTTATTATTTTATGCCTGAATGGATATAGTTTAAAAAGTTTTATTTAGTTGGGGTCCTAGTTGGTTACACATAACCACAAAACAAATATTTACCATAAGTTACTATGAGCATTTACCATAAATTGCTATGAACACATGGTAAATATACATTCTGATATATTTTAGTTATGGTTGTTGTAGCTTTTTTACTTTTTTTATTTTTTAGATATTTGATTTTTATTGATGGTGATGTTCTGCAATGTCATTTTTAAAATAACATGTTTAAAAAAAACGTTGTATTTTCTCTTCTGATAATAGTCTATGTTTTTCTAACATGTTTATTATTTTTTATATATATTTAGATAACTTGCAGGAGTTGACTGAGCGGTTTGCTAAAGCTCCTTTAACAAAGTCAATGTCAAATCCAAAAAATGTTGAGCAAGGTTTGACTGCAGAGGAAACTAAAACCTTTTATTCAAGATATCGTGCTTTTTCAGCAGTTGAACCAGTTACAAATGATAATATGAACAATGTTCAATGTGAAGAGAGAGGTCCTAATAATGGCATCAGTCCTTATTTTATATTTCTACAGTTATTTTACTCTACTCTTAGTTGTTTTTCTGATAAAATTCCCCTCTTGCTGGATCACAGTGAGGTAAGTATTTTCTGAGACTAGTTATTCATTAAATAAATTATTCTGCTAATACATAAATAGGTAATTGACTAAGAAACTAACAAATTGCATTTTAAATGTATTTTCCTTCGATTAATGTGTGTACTGAAGCCCTTTTAGTGTGTGTTTTTTCAGTATGATATCATCAGTAATTTTTGGTGTAAACCTAAATTTGCAACATTTATATATGTGTGTGTGTGTGTGTGTGTGTGTGTATATATATATATATATACACATATATATATATATACACATATATATATATATACATATATATATATATATATATATATATATATATATATATATATATATATATATATATATATGTATATATATATATATATATGTATATATATATATGTATATATATATATGTATATATATGTTTATATATATATATATATATATATATATATATATATATATATATATATATATATATATATATATATATATATATATATATATATATATATATATATATATGAAATTCCATACTTTTTTGTATTATTTATATATATATATATAATACTCTGTACTTATTTGCCCATCCAATATAAAACCAAAAGCAGTTGTAAAAACTAAAGTTGCTTTACAGGAAGTCCCTTAAGAAGTGCACTATTTTTACACTTAAACATCAGACAGGTCCCTAATATTATTAAAAAAAAATTTCTTGAAATGTATGTCATGTTGGGTCTCAAGAGAAGTGAAATTTTATAAAAATTTCAAAATGATAATAACTTTGTATTTAGATTTTTAATTTATATTTAACTGCGAAAAAGCTGTTATTTTTTAACATTAATATAAACATCAATTTTTTCACACTTTTTTAAAGTCAGTTTCTTTTAAAGACGTTTTTTTAAAATACAATTATTATTTTTGAACTTTTTATAAAATTTTGGTTCTTTTGAGACCCCACATAGCATACTTTTGAAGATTTTTTTTTCTATAATATTTGGGATCTGTTTGATGTTCAAGGGTAAAAGTAGGGCGGTTCCCCATATGCCTCGTGTTAATATTTTTATTATTTTTATTCATTTACAGGTAGATGCAACAAAATATTTAGAGGTAAACCAAACAATTTTGACCCCAGCCTAATATATATAATCATTTATAATTATTATAGATAGTTACTTATCATGCATTGCGTGGTTGATTGGGCAGTTATCAACCAATAGAAAAATATCTTATATGCTTTATATATATTCAAATGATTTTGAATTCAATAAGTATGGCTACAACATCACTTGCTAGACATGCACAAATACAACTTTTAATGGAAGATTGCAAGTCAAATGAATGGTTGCTGAACATTTAAAGTTGTCTTTGACAACTGTTTATGATAATATTTAGCACACCAACTCAATAAATGGCAATAATCCATAAAATTCTTTTTTTAATACCAAGAATTATCACTCTAAAAACAACTAACGTGATACATTGTTTGGCTGTGAAGGACATAGAGATTTCTAGTTTAAAAAGTTCATGCTTAACTGGCTCCTAGAATGAAAGTTGATGCCTGCACAGTTTGAAGATGGCACAGTTTTTTCGAAGGCTTTAATCTTTTAATGTACTGTGCTGCATTAATTTATTTCTTAATAAATAAACATTTGTAATTGCCTCAAAATTTTGAAAAGTACAATTTTTATATATTATAACATACCAAACCACACCACAAAGTAAACAAGCATATAAGATACAAAGTACACCATGATACACCTATTCGATCAGAAAAACAGTGTAAAAATTTTGAGGTCTTGATTTTAATTATGTGGGTAAAATAAAAATATACTTTTACATTCAAGCGATTTTCTTCTCTTTAAGAAGACTAATACCACAGAGGCAGTTGAAGAACTTTAAAAGGTGAATATCAAAAAAAAACTTTTAATTAACAATATTAAATTGAGTGATCTGTTTTTCTTAACAGATGGTTGGTTACCTAAAGAAGATGGTATTAAATATTGGCCAATTGTTTTGTATCCAGATATTTTTAACTTTCTGATGTTTAACCCATCTGAATTAGGTAGCAATAACCTAAATGATTATAAAAATTCAATATAAAACAGGTTGGCTTCAAAAATTAGAATATCACTGCATAAATAAAGGGTGAATGCAGGCATTCACAACATATTAATGACATACCATAAACTGTGGTTAATTATAGAAAGAAAAAAAAAAATTCAATCTTGTCACTGTACATGTATGACAGGAATGTTTTTCAGCAGAGAAGATTTTTCTCAGCCTTGTAAAAAAAAGACTGCTTGTAGGCAGTTTGCATAAAAGATTTAATTCAATTTCTGATTTTTCTACAAAGTTTAATCTCCAGGATATTGCTGAAGCGTTAAAAGACATAGCACCCAAATATAAACTCTTTAATGCTATACCTAAACCAGAGATTGACTTTAATTTAGGAGTGGTATTTGACATTAGTACTTCCCAATCAAATCTTATGAGTGCTGGTGATATACTGGCAATATCAAAAGATATTTTAACATTTGAAAAAAATATAACAATTCATATGACACTAAAAAATATTGAAGAAATTGAGCAGTTAACCCAAGGTCAAAATAAAACAAACACTAGTACAAGTTTAGAAAAGGTGTTATAACAGCTTCAAAAAGTTATGCTGTTTGGATAAAAATGAACAAAAAAAATATAGATAGAGATACTTCTTTCATTGATGGTAGTCCTGATCATATTGTTACTTATTTATATTGTCTACCTACATGTCTTGAAGTAAAATGTTCATTTTCTATAATTTTTTATCTCTGCTTGATCCAAGCATAAAATTTTCATATTTAATTTAAAATGGTATCGGTATTTCTTTGAACAAGAATCATTCATATTATATGCAATGCCTTCCGCAAATGGCTGTTACAAGGCACCATTATTTATATTTTATGGTGTGGACAACTCATGGAAATTTTATTGAACATATTAAAATTGACAATAAAAAAATGGATGCAATCAAATGTAATTTTAAAGTGGTAATTTTATTATTACTACTATCACTTAAGCACAATTTTTAACCAACAATAGACTGGAATGTGGTTTTTTACCTAGCAAAAGTTAAGTTTACCTTGAAAGTTTAATGTGGTAAATGTGTTAGTAGAAGTAATAGGAGAAATTCGGAATTGTTTTGCAATGTCTTACACGACAAATTCGCATGTGTTAAAAATTTTCTATATTTAGGTGAAAGAAATTTGCTCATTAATTTGCCTAAAATCTGAACATGTTTGGGTCCTCGCCAGTATCTCAGCTTCGGAAGAAAAGTGAGAAGATAGCATTAAATAAAGTTTTGGTAGAAACCAGCTTCGGAAGAAGTGAGAAGATAGCATTAAATTTTTGTAGAAATTATTGTAGCTATTGTAGAAAGTTCATTTTTTTGTCTGTTTATACTTTACATGAAAAAACTGATAATTTCTTAGATTGGTTTACTTGTTTTTTGATTTTGTTGATTCAAAGATATGTTTCATGTGTTTATTTTTTTAACAAGAGAATCGGTTAAAGAACTTTTTACATTACACCCTTTGCACATATTTAACAATGAATGTATAGCATATGAATGTTCACAGCTTGGTGGTGATAAATAAATTGTATTATCATTATTAGTATTATATAACTCACTGATATTACATAACTCTGGTTTAAAACTTGTATTACATAACTCACTGGTATTATCTTCAGTTGTATAACTATTCATTTATTGTTTGTGCTAATATCTTTTAAAACTAAAAAGTTTGATTTTGGAAAATGTTTATATAAACTTCTTCTTGGTTTTATATCAGTAAAATTATAACCCATATGTATATGTATATGTAAAATTATAACCCATATGTATAAAGTAGAATCAGGGTTGGGAATGGTAGGTGTTATATCTACAAAATGAAGAGAACATACATGATCGCTGTCACATGGATTCCATTTTTTTCTTATTTTTTCCTTACCTTTTTAAAAAAACTTTCCACTTTTCTCTTTCTCTATAATTTTTTAATGAACTCGGAAAACATTAAAGTTCGAAAGAACCATTTCAACCACATTGTTCTTTTTTTAAAGCTTCATGAAAATTACATTCTTGTTTTTACCACTTAAAAAAATTATAATGGTTCTTTAAACAACCTATGGCTGCACAGTTACCCCTTCCAAAGTTGTGCTTCAAGCCCTGATATATTGCATCTTTTGTTAAGCAATATCCTACAATTTTAATTTAGAATGTAATTACTGCCGCAGTAATGTTGTGCTGGTTTAAACCTTTTACAACAAGTGAGACTGTTAGATCCACAAGTTATTTAAAAATGTTGAAGAACAATGTGTTTAATTTGTTTTAAATTACAAATTAAATCTTTTAGGAAGCTGTTAAGTAAAATTAAAAACAGAAGTTTCTAGACAGAACTCAACCACAGTAGCAGTTCTAAGAAATAATAAAAGTGTCATGTTATAAAATAAACAGAACCCAACCACAGTAGCAGTACTAAGAAATAATAAAAGTGTCATGTTGTAAAATAAACAGAACCCAACCACAGTAGCAGTTCTAAGAAATAATAAAAGTGTCATATTATAAAATAGCGCCATTTTGAGTCTCTTGTTGCTTTAATACATTTTTAGATTAATTTAAAATTTTACTTTATGTGAACAGATTCAACAAAACAACAATGTCATAAAATCACAAAAAAATGTTTGTTTTGTTTTTAAAAAGGTTTGATCTAGAAAGTAAAAGTTTTTAAATGTCTTATATTTTAACTCTGTGAATTAGTTTTCACATTGTGTGTGTGTGTGTGTGTGTGTGTGTGTGTGTGTTAATTAAAAGATAATAGATAATAGAAAGATGATTATTATTAGAGAAAAACAATTTCAAGATTTCAACAGGAGTAAACTGCAATGTTTAATATGTTTACTCTATGATTAAACAAAAACAAAATGCAATACTTATGTAACTGTAGATATAGATTAGAATCAACTAATTTATTAGCCATTATTCA